GAAATATAGATTTATAGCGCGCTACCATTCCGCAGGGCTTGGGTTAGAGCCCAGTTAGTATTTTGCCAGCACGATGTCAATTTTTCAAAGATTAACGAAAACACAAGTACCACAGAAATGTAGTAGCGAACTTTGGATGCAGTTTACTTCTATTTGATATTGATATTTGCCATTTCGGAGTAGGCGTGAAACTGTTGGTCCGTCCCCTTTTTGTGACCACATCAAGGCGCACGCCACAAATCTGGGGTGAAGCTCGGCTAAACACCGACATATTTTGAAAGCGCCAAAAAATGCAATCGTATACACTTTTGCATGCATAACTTCTTTTACCGATGAAATAGGATTAAGCTCAACAGTTTACTCTGTAAACTGAGACGGAGCTAGAGGCTAGGAGCTGACATTCAATCTTAAAAGCATTCGTTCTGATGTCGAACAAAACTGATTGTATTTGTACAATGCATGACGAAGAATTGCTGTTAGCACCTGACAACCAATGCACTTTAAAAATGTGAACTTACGAACAAGTTTCCAAGCGTAACTGCATTAAATTCGCAACTTTCACAAACCATATACAGTATATTTTGCTTTGCTGCCTTTATGCTTAAGTGCACATTTAAGATACCTACCCCAAAATGGGCATCAGAGGCATTATTTTTAACATTTATAAGGAAACTGCTCCGATAGATGCATTCAACATACTTGCACATTGGCGGTACCTGCCTTAAAAATTTTGCAACTATTTAGTATCAATTATCAAAGAAAGTATTACGTTTACCTGCACTGGCCCTACAATTACACTGAGGGAAATAATGCATAGTAAAATTGAATATTTTATATTTGATTATCGTTTAAAAATGTTCGTATTTAAAAATAATATTTTCATACAAAATTTATTACGCACGTATTTGACTGTTCACATCTGAGTATGCATATATAAGTGTACATACGCACCCCAAGCATGCAGAGCGCCGCTCTGAGAGCCGTGACAACACAAACATCCATACATAGTACATACATGTTTATCCGTACAAATCGCATAGTGTTGATGGATATTCAACATTTGAAAGCAAATTTATATGGCTGGGTGTAGCTGAGTGCGCAAAGATGCTTGCCACAAGTTGTTGATATCCGGAGATGGTCGGGTTCGAATTCCACTGCAGGCAACATGCAAATAATTTTTTTTTTTAGTTTTTGTTTGATTATTCACTTCACGGATGCTTTTTCAGTACGAACGCGGTCATTTTAACATGCGCGTAATTGAATTGAATATTTACCAATATACAATACTTTCGTTGACGTTTATAGTAAGATCAATTACGTTTCTATTTGATTTTAATATTTTTTTCCCTCAGTGTACCTAATTTCACAAGCTTTTATTTATTTTGCTCATCTCGCAGAACGAAAATGGCTATCAATTTATGTAGTTATATAGATAATTAGATACCATTCGGTAAAAATTTCGCTTCCAGTAATTTCTACGTGTTAAGTGCTTCCCCATTATTTGGTTTCATAGGGATTCGGATACCTTCCTCATTGAAGTAGTAAAGAAAATTCGCTTAAGTGACTTCTCGGTTAAGTGCACAAGTTTTTCGTGCAAAGAAGGATGTGCAGCTAAGCAAAATATACTAAGGGTATTCATCAAACCTTATAAATGCATTGTAAACCGTATAAACTTATAATTGTGTAAACCTTATAAATGAGCTGTCAAAATTTGTATGGAAACTCGTTTACACATTTCTGATAAATTTATCCAGCGATTTCACTGAATAAACTTGATAAACTGAATACAATGCAACTCTAGCTATGTTTTCTTAGGCAATAATCGGGATCCGCATACAAATTTTGCACGCAAA